GTAGAGAGATCAAATGTTTATCATCTAACAAGGAGCAACGTTAATAAAATCCAAAGGCAATCTGACAGAATAAAAGACTAAAAGAAACTAAATAGGAGAAAAATGCATCATAAAAGCACCCGAAGAAGCCCAAGGGTTTCCTCTATAAACAGATTTCAACATCCAGTATGAACAGGATGGATCTAAAATAAGTGCGAAAAGGAGAAAATAGATCTCATTAGAGGCAACTAAATCTTTACCATGTACGGCATGTATTCTATTTCATGATTTCCAGCAGACCAAATCCATGGCTGATATGCAGTACTTTGCTCAACAAAACGCCCCCATGAATCCCACCTTATGCCAACATCATTATACTGATATCTGTCAGCATAAGAAAGATCTCCAACAAATAATACAGCTTGGGCTCCACTCTGCATGTAATGCTGAAGTGTGGAAAGAGAATTATATGTCTGGCCCAAGTCACCTGCGATATAAGTGAACAAAATGGTCAGCAAAAGTATATATAAAAGAGGCATCACTACATATTAATATAAAATAATTGCAGTTGAACAAATTATCAGTACAATAAACATGCATATGATATCATGCTTATAACAGATTAGAGTCCTGAAATGTGTCTACAAGAACAAAGAAAAAAGAGAGGAATAAATTCCAAGAAGCTGGGGAAGGCAGGTGCTAATTTAGAATCAGTGAAGAATCTCTTGTCCCTATTTTCTAACATTCTTTAGAATGAAGAAATGAACAAAGAATTTGCATAAAATAAGATTTAAACTGACTATACAACATAGAGGAGAGCAGAAATAACCATTGGATCAAAACTGTTGGTTCGTAACATTATCTATTAAGTGATAGGCAATTACCGTGATAATAAAGAATGTTACTAAAAGGACAACGAACACAAATTCTGCACATATGCTCCTCCAGGGAGAATCATTCAGGATTCAGAATAGTGAACCATTTAAATGAAGCAAAGAAAACTCATTCAGCATTTTACGAATCCTAACTCTCCAAATTACTCAGAAATATAAAATTAATCCTGGAAATATGGGAAGAGACTAACCAATGATCCCAAATTTGTAAGGAGTATCTGGATCAACCTTTGGAGGTGTAGTAAACCAAAATGCTCGAGAAGAATCACCGCTGCCGATCTTGTAGTAGTACTTGGTGTTGTGCTGATTTTAGCAAGTGGAGCATATTTTAGCAAAATCCAGTTGCACATTTTGATTCATGCATAATTGTGAGTGTGAAGATATATAGTGATTACTCAAAAAGTTAAAATTTTAATAAACAACAGAAGAAACAGGCATGTCTATATAATGCAACTACTGCAAATATAAGCAGTTTAGTTAGTAATTTAAATGCATGCTTACCCTGGGAATCAATTATATGAAGGCAATCATATGTAGCAACATGCAAAAAAACCATTGCTTTCAACTGAGAGAAAATTAAGCAATTTGTAAAAATACATTTTGTATAATTCAACTAAGAATTACCTCAAGTCCATCCACAAGACAATGATGGATGTAGCCAGATTTATATTGGTAAAATGTGTAGTTTGTCACAGTCCCCTCTGCAGTAAAGTCATTTTTGTTCTCCGAGGTTCCATATTGCACTTTGCTGGACCCCGGTTCATCAGGTGTCACCCATGAGATAATTACAGCTTTTCCATCATAATCACCTTGGGTAATATGAACCTACAGCAGTAGCCATAACACTCTAAATCCATTTTTAGAAAAATGTGGGAAATTCATGATTCATAAGAACTATATGTAGGACTATATTTAGAAAAATGTGGGAAATTCATGATTCATAAGAACTATATGTAGGACTATATTTAGAAAAATGTGGGAAAATTATGAGACGTGATTCATAAGAAACGATTATGTAGATTTAAACTATAATAAAAACAAGAATATACAGTAGTGAATGAAGCCTATTCACGCATATATTATGTAGATTTGAACTATAATAAAAACAGTAATATACAGTAGTGAATGAAGCCTTTTCACGCATATATCCCGTCTAAAAAGAAAGTAGTACTAAAATCTTTTAACTTCCAACCTGGAAAAATGATATGAAACAAACCCCGAACCCCAACAAAAAGTACTGCCTTTATTTCTACCGTGATTAAGAGTGCACAAAAGAGAGGCGAGGCATATATAGTCTCACGTGCTTTGCCATATTACGGAGCTTCTACAGCAGAATGTGCTTGAAAAGATAAACATACTTGTTGTGGTGCATTATGACCCTTTGGAACTGCAAACACTTCGTTGTCGAGTGGGATGTCGGTGGATGGCCACTCACCCCTTGTGAACTTACTCGTTATCCCTGCATCCCCGCTATTCAGATAGCTCAAGAAGACAAATGATGTCAGTAGGAACTGAAGCAACAGGGACTGCATCTTCGAGATCTCAGACCTGACAATGGATCAATCAGCCAGTCATAAAATTATCAGCCGCACTAAAGAGAAATCAATGCCAAGGATCCAACCACAAAATAGGAACCAATTACTCACGCTAAATCTTCTAATTAACTTAATAGCACCCAAAAACAATTACAAAAAAACTTTTACGCTCAGTCCGTTCCCCTCCATTAAGAAGAACTATACTGAATCAAGAAAATGATATCCTCCTGTCTAAAACTTTCTAATCTATCGCCTCGCTTCCATTTATTCAGTTACTAACTTGAATTAAGCCAGTTCACTTCCCAAATATCAACTCCATTTTCAAATCCATGACTAAATAAAACTACTAAACATCACCTAATCAAATGAAGATCAAGAATAACGGACAAAGCAAATGAACTCGGAGATGAACGATCGACATCGAACGAGTAATTAAGCGTAACCAACTAATCAAACAAAGAAGAGAGTCATGACGTAGAACATACATTCGTAGATAGATGTACAATAGGTAAAGAGGGAGAGAGAGGTGAGAAGAGATACCCCTTGAAGCATTTGCGACGGAGAAGATAAGAGATTAGTTGAGAGACGGATGAAAAACGGATTTTGTGACTTTCGAGCAGAAGATGGTGGGAGGGAGAGTGACGCGGTGTGGGGAGAAAGTGACAGCCATGTCACCCAATCATTTACTTTGCCTGATATTTAATATTTATGGTTTTTTTTTTTTTTTTTTTTTTTTTTTTGCCTTATCGTATACTGCAATCTGCAACTTGTAACTTACAAACTGGTATCTCGATTCTGTCGTATGTGCTGACGTACCAACTATTCTTTCGAAAATGTCATAACCAACCAATCATTCTGACTTGTAATTACATAAAATTTTAATTTTAATGTATAATAATTTATGACGTAAAAAATTATATTTATTTTAATTTTAAATAATAACTAATAGTATTTGATACTCTTATATAATTTTAAAATAAATTTTAAAATCATCAAATAAATTATATGTTATTATTTTTTTTATACTTTTATATAATATATTTAATTTTATTTTTATCTTCATAATTTATTATTTATTTAAATATAAATATAATTATATTTGATAAATAATTTAATTTTTTTATTATATATTTTTTATATATCATTTACTGAAAATACAATCATATTATCTTATTATCCAAATAAAAATATGTGATTAACATATATTAATATACAATCATCCAAACATAAATTTTTTTTGTCATTTTCATCATATGTTGTTATCATCTAATTACTGTAATTACCGCACATTAATTAATTATCGTTAAAAATTATCCAAACATAATGTTCTAAGCCATCTCTGACGATGAATCAACAATTCGAAGTGCTTTTCTTGCATATTCTTGATAAACCAGCGTTTATATATAGATATAGGAGGATCCGTTTGGGAAGTCAGAAGCCCCTCTGACATCTCTTCATCTGCAAAGAATTCTCGATGTATTTAAATAGGAAAAAGAGTGGTCGGTATTTTCTATTTATATTTATATTATTAATTAATTATAATTTATTTATGAATAAACTAATAAAAAAAGCCCAATAAAATCTCATCTACTAAAATTTTTAAAAATATAAAAAAATTGCTGAGGTAAAATCTGTATATTTATATTTTAAAGCTCTCACATGTTTATGTATATGTGTATATATATATATATATAATATACGTAATCTGTAATCTATAAGATAATTTATAGTGTACTCGTTTACGTAATTATTACATATATTAGATAATTATATATACACTTATCACATATGATTTAACTTCATTATTATCTTGAATTTTGGACATATTTTGAAATGCCATAACTTAATTAAATAAAAATTACAGAGGTTTATTATTATTTTAATTTAGCAACACATATGATATATGCTTACATGTATTATAAATATGACACGTTTATATTTATTATAGAGCATAAGTTAATTATCATATTGGACATTAATAATTCGGTCACGTTTTGCTCTTCATTAGAGACCAAAATTATGGTTCCGGCCCGCCTACCCTACAAACGAAATAATATTTCCCAAAACTTTATATTATAATACAAATATACATTATTATATACATGTTTCCATTAAAAAACATAATTTGGGAGTGGTTATTGGTAGCACATATTAATGATTAAATTGATTTAAAAAAAAAAATAGCCAATTGATTTTTAGATTTCGACATGTATTAATAAAAAATTAATAATAAATTACAAGAGGGTATTTATATTTATGGGATTATGATTAGGGTTAGTAATTTAAC